ATCTATCTATGTATGTCGTGTTGATGACTGTTTGAGCAGATGCAACCGAAGAACCAGCTACTTGAAGTTCTCCCAAGTTCATTTTTTGGGTTCAGTATGCCCGGTGGGCTGTTTGCCACAAAAAGAATGTGTTCTCATAGGTGAATTTTATGGAATCAACCTCTGAAAGTGATGTTCTTTGCAGATTTTGCAGGGCTTCCAACTTTTGTTTGGCGTCACCATGGTCCCAAGAACTGAAGGCTGCTGGGATTGATCGACTTGCCCTTACTATTGAAGTAACTGGGGTGAACTAAGCCACTGTGGCATTCTATCATATTCCAATGATCTTCCCCATATATGGTTGGTATGGTGGATTTTAAATGATTTTATGCACCCAGTATCCCTATCAAAGGCAGTCTCGAGCTCAGGTATACCATTACATACCACTGGATTTTAAAACTAACTATTAGTGGCTCCCAAAAAGATAGAAAAGTAAAATAGTCAAAACAAAAGTGATGACTGATCAATCACCTTTTTCTTGTGGCTACTCTCTCTCTCTCTATATATATATATATACGCATCATATATGATTCACTTCAGACCTGCAAGTTCCTATTTGTAGGATCATCCCACTTTGATCCACTTAGGACCTGCTTAGGGGACTTATGATCACCAGGGTTTTTAAGTACGTTCCGAATGGGATGTAGTGGTACAAGGATAACATGTGGTACAAGTTTCATGGAGGAAACTCCGAGTTACGGACTTTGACAAGTGGTTTCACAATTTGTGACAAGAGGTCGGAAGCCCCGGCAAAGAGCATGGAAGTCTGCCGAAGCTCCTGTAGGCAAACCCTGTTTTTGGATTTTTTTGGGTCCTATAGCGTTACACATTGTTACACTTCTTAAACTTGGAAACTTCCGCCACCCGCCTTGCGCGGGTTCTACTTGTAGTGTATATATATATATATATGTGCGTTTTTTTTTCTATTGATATCGGGGTACCATTTATCGATATGAAAAGATATGATAAGATCTGAGTGTTTTTTTTGTGTGTTTCTAACTACCAATCATATACTTATTGATACTTTCATCACCATGTGATGCGATATTCCAAAAAGTTATGATTGCTACATATATATATATCTCAAAATATACATATATAATTATTCATATATAAATATACACATAAATAAATACATATATATATATAATAAATAGAGGTTTAGTGCTGTTGTACCATCACCATTTCCCTGAGCCAAAGCTCAGGAATCGCGAACTTCGCGCCAACGTCGAGCTGGACGCGCACAGCCTGGAGTTGGAATCTGAAGTCCAGGTCACGAAGGGCCGCAGATGTTCGCCGTGAAGTGCTTTGGGGCTGGTTGAAGTGGTTTTACCGTGAAAAAAATGGAGAAATCAACCATCAACAAGTGGATTGTTCCATTAAATCAACTTGTTTACAAGTGGATTGTTCCATTCAAACAAGAGATAGTATATCATCAAATCATCAAGAATTCAACAGGCAACACTCTGATTGTTCCATTAAACAAATACATTTGATCATCAGCTGCTTGATGATACCATCAAAACCTTGGATTGAATACATTGTAATTTCAGATTGAATCAACCTATGTTTTGCCCACAGCTCCAAAATTGATCCCAGCATGTTCGCCATCCGATAATCCAAGGTGGTAGTGGACATTATTTGTCATTGGCAAATCATTCCAAATGCGTTTTGTTTTCGAGACTCTGCATGATTTTGCATGGGGGTGTGTCAATATGAGTGATCCCACACCATGGATAATTGATACTACAAACGGTCAATTGTATAGATCCATTGTGCATATTTTTGGGCCAACATTAGATTGGGTAAATAAATAAAGTTATATTCAAGGAAACATGCGTTTTTCCCCGCAACCCGTTTTGCTTTCCCTCGCTGGTGCCTTCAAACATCCCACAAGCATGCGAGTAGAAGCCACAACAATGGTGGAAGAAACCACACAAATTCGTAGCAACCCCAGCAGTGCTATGACTGGTGCGTTCAACTGGTTTGTGTTCACCTTCTTCCGGCGGTCATGATCCCAATTGAGTAGTCACAGGCATTGCGAGCCGAAGTGCAGCGTCTACAAGAGGAAACTGGTTCTTCCAAAGGACGGGGCTTGGACATCCTGCCAGTTTTGGGTCACTTGATGGAGCATGGGGAAGCTCTTAGTGGGGCCATGCCTGCCGTCGCTTTCGTTGTGACTCAATGACTATCATGTTTGCATTCGTTCGGCTTGGGATGCTGAAGATATTGTTTCTTTTGGATTGATTTGGATGAATCAGTTGTTGTACTCTTTACGCACGGATGATTCCAACAGGGCCTGTCCTCGATTTCGGGGCAGAATTTGAAAGCTATCATACCCTGGCAAACTATAGCAGGCCTGAAACACCATCTATTTCCACCCAGAAACATATTTGTTTATTTGAGCCTAGAAGTGAAATATGCTGAAAAAAAGCATGTTTTGCGTTGTGGAACAAATCTTCAAAAATAGCAGGCGTTCTATTTCCCAGTAGAGGGTAGCGTCCACGATGATTCGCTCCTGCTTTGGCGGCCAGAACCACAGCAGCCGGAGACGATCGAGGCCTGCGGAGCGGCAGTCACTGTTGCGGCCCTCCAATTGAGCCATGAAACACACCCTCCGGTGTCATCAGACCAATACAATGGGATGGGATAGGGATAGGGGATGATAGGGGTACCTTTCCCACTGTTGGGTCATTAAAATAAACATGTTGGTCAAGCTCCAAAATTTGATGCTGGCGACGCTTCTTCCTAACCTCTAAGAAGACAGAAGCGTAAATTACATCCCATTTTAGAAGCGGACCTGATTCTTTCCATTTTATCTTGGTGGTGGTTATAAAGTAGACCACCGACCCCAGAATTTGCCAGCTGACACCTGATGCCCCCTTCAATCAAAATTTCGATAGGAATAGCTGGTTAGCTAAATCGCTTCATACCCATTGGCAAAGCTAAGCAATAAATTGTCTGCTTACAATGGAACATGGCTTATTGATAGATTATTGTTCCCTTAAAACCTCCATTTATAGATGTTTTTTCAATCCACATTAAAACCACCATTTATTTATATATATACTGTGTATATATATTTCTTTTTTTTGTCCACATTAAAGGCACCATGTCTAGATGATTCCCCAATGGAAACAGTACCATTTTAATAGAGGTTGCTCAAGTTCCCGGTTCATATAACCACAAAAACGGTGCTGCCAGGTGCTCTTTGCGCTGCCAGGGCCACTAGGATTGGAGTTCCAGGCCCAACAGGCACCGTACATCATCGCCAAGATCCATGACTCGGGCGTGGCCATCAACCTGGGCATCAACGAAGGCCAGTGACCCGGCGCCGGTTTTTTTCAGGTACAACAGGGAAAAACGATCAGAATGGCTGGTTATTGAAGGGGTTTCTATGGAAAATAGCTCATTTATAGTTGATTTATAGATGATTTATGAGGATTTACTACCCAGTTACTGTTTTTCCTTGCCTTCTTCAACTTCCAAAGCTTGTGTACGAATGGAATCCCAACCCCCGGAGAGACCCAGGTCCTTCCAGTAAACTTACATATCATAGACATGGAAAATCCATGAACATCACCATAAGTCTAGATCATTCCTTCGGTAATCCCATGGATTTCCAGGAGATGAGCTGATTTCCGTGGCCGACGAGCCTGTGGACCATGCCAACTGGGAGGTGGGCGTCCCCGAATCAATCATGGCAATGGAAAATCAGCCATAGATGATGCACACACAATTTGTCAAAAAGGGGGAATCATTTCTGCCCCACCTGAATTCCTCACTTTGAGGATTTTTTTTTTAACACATGTGCCCTAAATTAGGTCCTAAATGTTGTGCACCAAATGACTTCCGGTCCGCTAAGGATTTGGTACGCAAGCTCTCGAAGAGGCCAGGGAGAACCCCCTTTTTGTTTCTATGGCAGTGGGTCAGTCGCGCTGCCAGGCCTGTAGTGGGGAAGTTCCGACGCCCGGCCGTCAGCGACAGCGCCGGCGCCACGACGAAGCTTTGGTCCTCGGTGAACTCCATGGGTGCGCAGCTGCTGACGGCAGCGCGAGGTGGGGAACAGTGGGAGCAAAGTAGGACTCTGGATGTAACTGTTATACACATCTTTAAGAATAGTTTATAACTGTTACTAGTAGATATTATTATTATTATTTTATTGTTATTATTATTATATTATCATTATTATTATTTATTATTATTATTATATTATTATTATATTATTATTATATTATTATCAAATTATTATTATTATTATCAAATTATTATTATTATTATCAAATTATTATTATTATTTTTAAATTATTATTATTATATTATTATTAGTATTATTATTATTATTATTTTATTATTATTTTATTATTATTATTAAATTATTATTATTATTTTATTATTATTATATTATTATTATTATTATTATTATATCATTAGTATTATTATATTATTATTATATTATTATTATTAAATTATTATTATTATTATAATATTATTATTATTAGTAGTAGTATTATTATTATTAGTATTATTATTCTTATTATTATTCTTCTTTTTCTTCTTATTATTTTATTTTATATTATTATTATTATTATATATTATTATTAGTGTTATCATTAGTATTATTATTATTATTTTTATAATTATAATTATTATTATCATTAGTATTATTTTTATTATTATTAGTATTCTTCTTCTTCTTATTATTATTTATTATTATTAGTATTATTATTATATATATATATGATTATATATGTATATAATATTGGAACATGTCTTTATTGTGGTTCCTTTGATAAATAAGTTACAGTATGGATGTCGATGGGGTGATAATTTGCATCACCAAATGTCTATATCCATATGCAATGAAGATTGTCCTGGATGGGTGTGTGGAATAATTTGCCAACAGTTCTTCCAATGGACGTGTTTTACCATTATTCCTATTATATATCAACAATTCAACAGAATTCCCAGATGAAAAAAGGGGGGTGTTACCCTGTGTTTTTTGTACAATCAGAATTCCGCACATGTTTCTAGGGAGGGGACGAATACCCTATTATGGGTAAAATTGTTGGATCGACCTGGGATGACTGGATAGGCCCAGTTGCTCCCTAGTTCCCAGGGATGATCCTCCATTCGATGAGTTTTTTTTGATGTATGTACGTTCGGCACAGCTGGTGCAGGGATGATAGACGATCATGGGGCCCAACCCCTTCATATCCAAAGCATGGGGAGATCCTCACCATCGATATCTATGAATCTATGTGAAGATCCATGCAAACAATGATCAAATGGAGGTTTCCTACAATGGGGGCTACACGCTAAATCCGTTTTGACAGGATTTTCATGGATTTTCCATTATAAACCAACCATTTTTGGGGTACTCCTATTTATGGAAAACCCTTAATAAATCTTCAACACAGGTTTATCACAGTGTACAGGGTAAAGCAGCTGGGGAAAATTCCGCAGGCTCAGGCTCTGACGCTTCAGCCGCGGAGCAACTTGGCCAGCAAATTTTGAGCCGGTGATATGAGTTATATGTACGTATAGTAACCCCTAAAGATACAGAACGTTGGTTACTATCCCAGTGGGATTTTACTTGTTTTGTTGGGATTCTTTCGGGTGGTTACCAACATATATATATGTACGCATGTGTATATAACATGTATATAATATAATATATAATTATATATATATATATGGTAATATGCTTGCCAACGGGTCATTGATGGGTAGGTATTGGGTAAGTTAAATAAGATCAACACCACTTACTAATTGAGCCGCTCTAAAAACCTCCCTTCACATTTTCAGTAAGGGCCTTGTAATAACGCGTTTGGCGTAAGCAAAACCCTCACTTGCGTAAGGCCGCGTAAGGACTTCGCATAAGGGTTTCCTCAATTTGCTTTGCGTAAGGAAAAACTCTACGCGCGTAAGCATGGCGTAGGGTTTGGCGTACCCAAAATGATACGACGTAGGGAGTGACTGAAGGTTTTCAGAATGGCTCAATTGACATGCAATATTAGTTCATATAGCGGCAGATATGACAATGGTTGATTCATCATATTTCATTACCGTCAATATCATGATGTTTGGTTTCATACTGGCAGATGAACCAGTTAATATGGTAATTAAAGCCAAGGTTAGCTCATAAAGTCGTTGTTTCAGCGTGTCGAAATGTTAACTTCAAAAGGTACGCTTGATAGCTTGGCTGTCAGTATCCTGACCAGCTGGATCAGCCTGGGGCTGCCTTTTTTTTAGGCCAAGAATCTATTCGCTGCACTGGAACAACAAAAATGGAAAATATCCATGGAGAAAAAGTGTGCAGTAATAGTGTGTTGTCCTTCTTGGCAAAGTTGCAGGCTCAAAACTTGTTTTGGTCGGTTCATGACTTCGAAAAAGAAACACATAGAGGACAAGCCAGGCACCGATCGCGATGGTGACAATTTTCCCATCTTCAGTTTACACCTGGCATACCCTCTAGTAAACTAACATAGCTATGTCAAATCACCATCCTGAATAGGTAAATCAAATATAAATGGGCCATTTTCAATAGCTATATTAAATTACCGGAGGGTATCGTGCCCACACAAAAAGGAAAACCTGGAGAAGCCTGGAACTTTGACCTTCACATGGTGGCAGGGCCATGCCCATTTCGATGGGTTCATCTAAATCAATCCATGTATACATGATGTTCACATTCAAGACTGCGATTTTCCTGTCGACCACGTTTGATTACCAAAGGTTATTTGTATATGTGTCAAATTGTTTGAAATATATATAATTATGTGTATCTTTTAAACCATCTCCTGTCCCGTGAAGATCAAATACATCCCGGAAAGCTTGCTTTTGTATTGGAACTATTCATTGTAAAGTGTTGAGAAATGGCAGGAAACTGATGAAATATTTAGAATGTTTCAGAAGATTATTTAGGAATGAACAGAATGAACTGATTTCTGTCAGACATTTCGGACAGCGTTTGGAAACAGATCTACATCATACCTTTTGGTCAAACAAAAATGGAAAATGTGTGTCATCGGTAAATCAATCATAAATGGTCCATCCAAACCATAGCAGACTGTTAATTTACCAAATGCTAGTCATCCTAATCATTCCAATTATATCACGGAAAGTGGTTGGTAATATCCCCATAAAATCCCATTAATTTGGGTAAAACAATCATCAACCATCCCCAAATCACCATTTTTATAGGTGGTATATGGCACATCTGTAACTTAGAATGTGGCTTTGGAAACCGCCGCCCCACCGGAGAAGCCAAAACTCACGTTTTGGGCACCTTCTACTTTTGAAATAATCATCCCACCACGCTATGTGCGAACGGTTTGACACTTAGAATGATGCAAAAACATCATCAAAAAATTCTGCACCGGTCAATTTTTTTTAATTTACTGATATTTAGAAGGTTTTCAACACTTAGAATGTGGTTTCTTCATGTTTCTCCGGGAACAATAGGGGAAAAACAGGCAACATTATAGGGAACAATAGGGGAAAAATAGGGAAATAATAGGGAAACATAGGGAAATAATAGGGAAATAATCTGGTTATATATATGCTTGTAATGCTGAAAGTGTTGACCTTTCACAGGTTTTGCCATCTTTCTGGTATACCACCACACCATACCATACCATACCCTTATCCCAGGATCAGTAGTTACTACAAGTTTCCCCGTGTATTTCCCTAGTTGTTCCCTATTATATCTTGCAAAGACAGTTGGAAGTTGGAACCACTTTTTTGCGGCTGCAAAAATGTTGCAATTCAATTTGTGTGTTTTTGCAGGTTTCATGCATTTAGCATGACCGTCGAAAGGGTAGCAAGTGGATGAACAAAAAAGCGAGAATAATCTGGAAGGGTCATCATTTTTGGGTTTCGATAGTCGTTTTTTGGGAAAATGTCATCAAAAAACAGTGAAATCTAGAATTTTGGTGGGAAATCAAATTATGTGTATTTTTGCAGGTTTCAATCACTTAGCATGACAGTCGAAACAGAGTCATTCTAAGTGTCTAAGTTTATCGTTTTGGAAACCTGGGAGGCATATGGGACAATAATAGGGTAAAATAAGGAGATTATATATATATATACATAGGGAAATAATAGGGCAAAAATAGGGAACTAAGAGGGAAATAATAGGTAAATAATAGAAACAATAGGGAACAATAGGGGAAAAATAGGGAAATAATGGGGAACAACTAGGGAAATAGTAGGAAAATAATAGGGAAATAATAGGGAAATAATCTGGTTATATGCTTGTAACGCTGAAAGTGGTGACCCTTCACAGGTTTTGCCATCTTTCTGGTAAACCACCATACCATACCATACCCTTATCCCAAGATCAATAGTTACTACAAGTTTCCCCGTGTATTTCCCTAGTTGTTCCCTATTATATCTTGCAAAGACAGTTGGAACCACTTTTTTGGGGCTGCAAAAGTGTTGCAATTCAATTTGTGCGTTTTTGCAGGTTTCATACATGTAGCATGACCGTCGAAAGGGTAGCAAGTGGATGAACAAAAAAGTTAGAATAATCTGGAAGGGTCATCATTTTTGGTTTCGATAGTTGTTTTTTGGGAAAATGTCATCAAAAAACAGTGAAATCTAGAATTTTGGTGGGAAATCAAATTATGTGTATTTTTGCAGGTTTCAAACACTTAGCATGACAGTCGAAACAGAGTCATTCTAAGTGTCTAAGTTTATCGTTTTGGAAACCTGGGAGGCATATGGGACAATAATAGGGTAAAATAAGGAAATTATATATAGGGAAATAATAGGGCAACAATAGGGAACTAAGAGGGAAATAATAGGTAAATAATAGAAACAATAGGGAACAATAGGGGAAAAGTAGGGAAATAATAGGGAACAACTAGGGAAATAATAGGAAAATCATAGGGAAATAATCTGGTTATATGCTTGTAATGCTGAAAGTGGTGACCCTTCACAGGTTTTGCTATCTTTCTGGTAAACCACCATACCATACCATACCCTTATCCCAGGATCAATAGTTACTACAAGTTTCCCTGTGTATTTCCCTAGTTGTTCCCTATTGTATCTTGCAAAGACAGTTGGAACCACTTTTTTGGGGCTGCAAAAGTGTTGCAATTCAATTTGTGTGTTTTTGCAGGTTTCATACATGTAGCATGACCGTCGAAAGGGTAGCAAGTGGATGAACAAAAAAGTGAGAATAATCTGGAAGGGTCATCATTTTTGGTTTCGATAGTTGTTTTTTGGGAAATGTCATCAAAAAACAGTGAAATCTAGAATTTTGGTGGGAAATCAAATTATGTGTATTTTTGCAGGTTTCAAACACTTAGCATGACAGTCGAAACAGAGTCATTCTAAGTGTCTAAGTTTATCGTTTTGGAAACCTGGGAGGCATATGGGACAATAATAGGGTAAAATAAGGAAATTATATATAGGGAAATAATGAGCAAAAATAGGGAACTAAGAGGGAAATAATAGGTAAATAATAGAAACAATAGGGAACAATAGGGGAAAAATAGGTAAATAATAGGGAACAACTAGGGAAATAATACGAAAATAATATGGAAATAATCTGGTTATATGCTTATAACGCTGAAAGTGGTGACCCTTCACAGGTTTTGCCATCTTTCTGGTAAACCACCATACCATACCATACCATACCCTTATCCCAGGATCAGTAGTTACTACAAGTTTCCCCGTGTATTTCCCTAGTTGTTCCCTATTATATCTTGCAAAGACAGTTGGAACCAATTTTTTGGGGCTGCAAAAGTGTTGCAATTCAATTTGTGTGTTTTTGCAGATTTCATACATTTAGCATGACCGTCGAAAGGGTAGCAAGTGGATGAACAAAAAAGCGAGAATAATCTGGAAGGGTCATCATTTTTGGGTTTCGATAGTCGTTTTTTGGGAAAATGTCATCAAAAAACAGTGAAATCTAGAATTTTGGTGGGAAATCAAATTATGTGTATTTTTGCAGGTTTCAATCACTTAGCATGACAGTCGAAACAGAGTCATTCTAAGTGTCTAAGTTTATCGTTTTGGAAACCTGGGAGGCATATGGGACAATAATAGGGTAAAATAAGGAAATTATATATAGGGAAATAATAGGGCAAAAATAGGGAACTAAGAGGGAAATAATAGGTAAATAATAGAAACAATAGGGAACAATAGGGGAAAAATAGGGAAATAATAGGGAACAACTAGGGAAATAATAGGAAAATCATAGGGAAATAATCTGGTTATATGCTTGTAACGCTGAAAGTGGTGACCCTTCACAGGTTTTGCCATCTTTCTGGTAAACCACCATACCATACCATACCCTTATCCCAAGATCAATAGTTACTACAAGTTTCCCCGTGTATTTCCCTAGTTGTTCCCTATTGTATCTTGCAAAGACATTTGGAACCACTTTTTTGGGGCTGCAAAAGTGTTGCAAGTCAATTTGTGTGTGTTTTTGCAGGTTTCATACACTTAGCATGACCGTCGAAAGGGTAGTAAGTGGACGAACAAAAAAGAGAATAATCTGGAAGGGTCATCATTTTTGGTTTCGATAGTTGTTTTTTGGGAAATGTCATCAAAAAACAGTGAAATCTAGAATTTTGGTGGGAAATCAAATTATGTGTATTTTTGCAGGTTTCAAACACTTAGCATGACAGTCGAAACAGAGTCATTCTAAGTGTCTAAGTTTATCGTTTTGGAAACCTGGGAGGCATATGGGACAATAATAGGGTAAAATAAGGAAATTATATATAGGGAAATAATGAGCAAAAATAGGGAACTAAGAGGGAAATAATAGGTAAATAATAGAAACAATAGGGAACAATAGGGGAAAAATAGGTAAATAATAGGGAACAACTAGGGAAATAATACGAAAATAATATGGAAATAATCTGGTTATATGCTTATAACGCTGAAAGTGGTGACCCTTCACAGGTTTTGCCATCTTTCTGGTAAACCACCATACCATACCATACCCTTATCCCAGGATCAGTAGTGCCTATAAGTTTCCCCGTGTACTTCCCTAGTTGTTCCCTATTATATCTTGCAAAGACAGTTGGAACCAATTTTTTGGGGCTGCAAAAGTGTTGCAAGTCAATTTGTGTGTGTTTTTGCAGGTTTCATACACTTAGCATGACCGTCGAAAGGGTAGTAAGTGGACGAACAAAAAAGTGAGAATAATCTGGAAGGGTCATCATTTTTGGGTTTCGATAGTCGTTTTTTGGGAAAATGTCATCAAAAAGCAGTGAAATCTAGAATTTTAAATTATGTGTATTTTTGCAGGTTTCAAACACTTAGCATGCCCACGAAACCGAGTCATTCTAAGTGTCTATGACAAAAGTTTTGGAAACCTGGGGGTCATTCTAAGTTACAGATATGCCATATAATTGATTGATTGATTGATTAATTAATTGATTATTATTGTTGTTGTTGTTATTGTTATTGTTATTATTATTGTTATTTTTGTTATTAGTATTACTAGTATGTTTATTTTTTTTATTATTTATGATTATTATTAACTATTATATTATTACTATTATTGTTATTATTATTATCAGTATCATTATTATTATTACTATTATTATTACTATTATTATTATTAATATTATTATTATTACCTGAGAAGGGGGGAACGAAAGCCAGAATCCCATCTATCCCTATGTTCCCCAATATTTTTCACCCAGAGACTCTTCACCCAGAAACTCTTCTTGCACATACTTTTCACCCATATACTTTTCACCCAGAGACTCTTCTTGCACATACGTTTCACCCATATACTTTTCACCCAGAGACTCTTCACCCAGAAACTCTTCTTGCACATACTTTTCACCCATATACTTTTCACCCAGAGACTCTTCACCCCAGAAACTCTTATTGCACAGACTTTTCACAGAACTCTTTCTTGCCATACTTTTCACCATATACTTTTTAACTCCAGAGGACTCTTCCACCCAGATAACTCTCTTAACAAATACTTTTCACCCATATAGGTTTCACCCAGAGACTCTTCAACCCAGAAACTCTTATTGCACAGACCTTTTCACCAGAAACTATTTTGCACATACTCTTTCACCCATATACTTTTCACCCAGAGACCCTTCACACCAGAAATTCGTCTGCACAGACTTTTCACCCATATACTCTTCTTGCACATACTTTTTCACCCATATCACTTTTACAGAGACTCTTCACCCAGAAACTCTTCTTGCACATACTTTTCACCCATATACTTTTCACCCAGAGACTCTTCTTGCACATAATTTTCACCCATATACTTTTCACCCAGAGACTCTTCACCCAGAAACTCTTCTTGCACATACTTTTCACCCATATACTTTTCACCCAGAGACTTTTCACCCAGAAACTCTTCTTGCACATACTTTTCACCCATATACTTTTCACCCAGAGACTCTTCACCCAGAAACTCTTCTTGCACATACTTTTCACCCATATACTTTTCACCCAGAGACTCTTCACCCAGAAACTCTTATTGCACAGACTCTTCACCCAGAAACTCTTCTTGCACATACTTTTCACCCATATACTTTTCACCCAGAGACTCTTCACCCAGAAACTCTTCTTGCACATGCTTTTCACCCATATACTTTTCATCTAGAGACACTTCACCCAGAAATTCTTCTTGCACATACTTTTCACCCATATACTTTTCACCCACAGACTCTTCACCCAGAGACTCTTATTGCACAGACTTTTCACCCAGAATTTCTTCTTGCACATGCTTTTCACCCATATACTTTTCACCCAGAGACTCTTCACCCAGAAACTCTTCTTGCACATACTTTTCACTCATATACTTTTCACCCACAGACTCTTCACCCAGAAACTCTTCTTGCACATACTTTTCACCCCTGTACTTTTCACCAATATACTTTTCACCAAGAAACTCTTCTTGCACATACTTTTCACCAATATACTTTTCACCCAGGGACTCTTCACCCAGAAACTCTTCTTGCACAGACTTTTCACCCACATACTCTTCACCCACAACTCTTCACCCAGAAACTCTTCTTGCACATACTTTTCACCAATATACTTTTCACCCATAGACTCTTCACCCAGAAACGCTTCTTGCACATACTTTTCACTCATATACTTTTCACCCAGAGACTCTTCACCCAGAAACTCTTCTTGCACAGACTTTTTACCCAGAAACTCTTCTTGCACATACTTTTCACCCATATACTTTTCACCCAGAGACTCTTCACCCAGAAACTCTTCTTACAAATACTTTTCACCCACATATTTTCACCGATAGACTCTTCACCCAGAAACTCTTCTTGCACATACTTTTCACTCATATACTTTTCACACAGAGACTCTTCACCCAGAAACTCTTCTTGCACATACTTTTCACCCATATACTTTTCACCCAGAGACTCTTCACCCAGAAACTCTTCTTGCACATACTTTTCACCCATATACTTTTCACCCAGATACTCTTCACCCAGAAACTCTTCTTGCACATACTTTTCACCCATATACTTTTCACCCAGAGACTCTTCACCCAGAAACTCTTCTTGCACATACTTTTCACCCATATACTTTTCACCCAGAGACTCTTCACCCAGAAACTCTTCTTGCACATACTTTTCACCCATATACTTTTCACCCAGATACTCTTCTTGCACATCAGTTCACCCATACACTTTTCACCCAGAGATTCTTCACCCAGAAACTCTTCTTGCACATACGTTTCACCCATATACTTTTCACCCAGAGACTCTTCACCCAGAAACTCTTCGTGCACATACTTTTCACCCATATACTTTTCACCCAGAGACTCTTCACCCAGAAACTCTTCTTGCACAGACTTTTCACCCAGAGACTTTGCACCCAGAAACTCTTCTTGCACATACTTTTCACCCATATACTTTTCACCCAGAGACTCTTCACCCAGAAACTCTTCTTGCACATACTTTTCACCCATAAACTTTTCACCCACAGACTCTTCACCCAGAAACTCTTCTTGCACAGACTTTTCACCCAGAAACTCTTCTTGCACATACTTTTCACCCATATACTTTTAACCCAGAGACTCTTCACCCAGAAACTCTTCTTACAAAGACATTTCATCCATATACGTTTCACCCAGAGACTCTTCACCCAGAAACTCTTATTGCACAGACTTTTCACCCAGAAACTCTTCTTGCACATACTTTTCACCCATATACTTTTCACCCAGAGACTCTTCACCCAGAAACTCTTCTTGCACAGACTTTTCACCCATATACTCTTCACCCAGAGACTCTTCACCCAGAAACTCTTCTTGCACATACTTTTCACCCATATACTTTTCACCCAGAGACTCTTCACCCAGAAACTCTTCTTGCACATACTTTTCAACCATATACTTTTCACCCAGAGACTCTTCACCCAGAAACTCTTCTTGCACATACTTTTCACCCATATACTTTTCACCCAGAGACTCTTCACCCAGAAACTCTTCTTACAAATACTTTTCAACCAAATATTTTCACCCATAGACTCTTCACCAAGAAACTCTTCTTGCACATATTTTTCACCCATATACTTTTCACCCAGAGACTCTTCACCCAGAAACTCTTCTTGCACATACTTTTCACCCATATACTTTTCACCCAGAGACTCTTCACCCAGAAACTCTTATTGCACAGACTCTTCACCCAGAAACTCTTCTTGCACATACTTTTCACCCATATACTTTTCACACAGAGACTCTTCACCCAGAAACTCTTCTTGCACATACTTTTCACCAATATACTTTTCACCCAGAGACTCTTCACCTAGAAACTTTTCTTGCACATATTTTTCACCCATATACTTTCACCCAAAGACTCTTCTTGCACCTACTTTTCACCCATATACTTTTCACCCAGAGACTCTTCACCCAGAAACTCTTCTTGCACATACTTTTCACCCATAAACTTTTCACACACAGACTCTTCACCCAGAAACTCTTCTTGCACATACTTTTCACCCATATACTTTTCACCCAGAGACTCTTCACCCAGAAACTCTTCTTGCACATACTTTTCACCCATATACTTTTCACCCCGAGACTCTTCACCCAGAAACTCTTCTTGCACATACTTTTCACCCATATACTTTTCACCCAGAGACTCTTCACCCAGAAACTCTTCTTGCACAGACATTTCACCCATATACTCTTCACCCAGAGACTCTTCACCCAGAAACTCTTCTTGCACACACACATTTCACTCATATACTTTTCACCCAGAGACTCTTCTTGCACATACTTTTCAACCATATACTTTTCACCCAGAGACTCTTCACCCAGAAACTCTTCTTGCACATACTTTTTACCCATATACTTTTCACTCAGAGACTCTTCACCCAGAAACTCTTCTTGCACAGGCTTTTCACCCAGAGACTCTTCGCCCAGAAACTCTTCTTGCACAGACTTTTCACCCATATACTTTTCACCCACAGACTCTTCACCCAGAGACTCTTCACCCAGAAACCCTTCTTGCACATACTTTTCATTCAATGTCCTTCTCTCTCCAATCTCCTCTAAGTAGCTGGCCCATCTATCTGTCCATTGACTGAGCCCAGAAACCGCCAGAAAACCGGACCTAGGGGGAATCGATACCCACCGTCACTGTTTTGCCGCCTGGTACATTACCCTGCAAAACCATACTTTTTTCTCACTAAAATCACCACCTATTTTCCCGATTTTTGACCCGTTTGGCAACTACCCCCCCCCCAGACCCCCTATTCTCACTTCGTTCGCAAATAGCAACTAGCCAGCTTCCCTGCTGGCTTTCGTTATTATTATTATTATTATTACTATTATTATGATTATTATCATTATTATATAGATAGATATATATATAGATATAGATATAGATATACCCAGTTTGGACCCAATACAAGTTCGTTTGTCTTACCACAGAGAAAAACATCTTGCGCTGTGCAAAGGAATCAACCCGTTCGGAGCCTGTTTGAAGGCCACACGCTGCAGGGTCAGCGCCTTTTGAATCTCCTTCAGGTGGCTGCTTTGTCTTTGAAACATCTGGCGCTTCTTGTGTCAGATTTTGGATAACAATTCCAGCAAGCAAGAGCATCTAGGCTGTGGTGAACCATGATAAACCAAGTGAATCCAAGCGACAAAACCATACAAAACCTGTGTTTTCTGCATCTCTCTTAACATGGCTGAAAGTTTTCCCATTGATTTTCCGAAGGAAACCACATCAAAACCTGTTTTCCCTTTGCTTTCCTCATCATTTCCAAAGTTTAGAGGTCCCCCTGAGGCCAGAAAGCCCTCCCTTGTCCTGCATAATCTGTTTCGGAGCCTTAGAGGTGGTACACGCCACGTTGAAGGCCCCGCGGCACGTGCGCATCGATTCGTCGCGATCTTTCGGGGGGGTGCGACCTGCCATGCCATGCGCCTTGGAAAATTGCTGGTGAACTGGTGAATGGATGGCTATTCTCCGGGAATCATAGGTTTTGACATGTTTTGACATGTTTTGACTCCCCAAATCTCGCCAAAATCTCGCTTAAAGCTCTTTGATGCTCTTTTCCACTGGTAACTTGACCTGTGAGTGTACTTCAAAATGGCAAATGCCAAGATTGGATGGTCCCAATGGCTCCAATCCAGGCGGGCCGCACCTGATCGATCTTGCTGCGTCATCTCCGGCCTCGGTGACACTCGGGCACAGCCGATGGGTCAACGGATGGCAACAGCCAAGGCCCAGACGTAGCGGAGCGTGTTCCAACGGCAGTCCAGGCCTTAGAGAAATGCGGAGGGCCAATCTGGGGGATACATCAAACTTAGACTATTTGTAGTATCGTTGGAGAATGGAATCTCAATCATATACTTGGATTTGATGTGATCTATGCCATCTTAAATCTTTATGTGTATATATATGTATGTATGTACGTACGTACGTACGTACGTACGTACGTATGTATGTATGTATGTATGTCTGAATGTCTGTATGTCTGTATGTCTGTCTGTATGTCTGTATGTCTGTATGTCTGTATGTCTGTATGTCTGAATGTCTGTATGTCTGTTTGTCTGTCTGTCTGTATGTATGCATGTGTTATTGTATTGTATTGTATTTGTATTTGTATTGGTATTGGTATTGGTATTGGTGTTGGTATTGGTATTGGTATTGGTATTGTATTGTATATAATTATACGTATGTAGATACATATACATATACATATACATATACATATACATCTACATATACATATACATATATATATATATAGTTGAGCTCAAGCATTGTTGCGCTACATCTCTCCTGACACCCTGGGCGTTTTGCCATAAGCCACTAATTCATAAGATACATGAACGAACCATTTGGGTCGGAAAATAGTGTACATACAGTACCCCATTCCACTGGTTAAGAACCTCATTGTCTTGCGTTTCCCCAGTTGTTTGGCGACAACATTGGATCTAAATCCTTATGTTTTTTTCTAGTTTTCCCGCATATTTTAGCTCCAAAATTGGAACGAAATCTCCTGTTTTCAGGGCCATCGGCTGAGGTCCCCCCGCCTGGCCCCCAAAGAGATCTGCCGCCACCGAAGCTGCTGTGGCAGCTGCACCCTCTGCAGGTCGTAGACCTCGACCTGGGCTGTTCACTTGGCAGTGTGTCAAAACCTTGTACCCCTGGTGAACATCAAAATAGCTGGTAAATGGATGTTCATCCCACTAAAAATGGTATTAATAGGTATTGATCCATACCCACTTCCCCAAAATCACGAAGCCTACTGGGAAGCACTGGGATCCCCTGGCTGCTGGTGGTGGGCGTGGTGGACACCGGTGCCAAGTTCATCCCAGCCTGGCAGCGGCACTGGCAGCGGGCTCTTTGTTCATGGTCGGAATTCATCCCTCAGAAAATATGCACTCTAGTAAACGTTTACATAACGAACTGGAAAATCACCATGCTATGAATGGGTAAATCAACTATTTCTATCGGTCATTTTCAATAGCTATGTTGGTTTATCAGAGGCTAAACCTTGGAATCATTCAGAACCGCTGGCCTCAGGCGTCGCTGCATAGTGCCTCCTTCTCGCCTCGTTGATGTATTGAGCACCTTCGCAAAGGGCGTCCCTTTGAGGGGAATGCAGGCACCATGGTGGATCCATCCGAGTCTTTCTCTGGCAATGCTGTTGAGGACTATTTCAGCCCGGAACGTTGCTTTGGACCATATCTTGAAATAGCTGCATCTTGCTCTGCACTTCTGTGCAATGTCACAAGGTCATCTGCCGATCTCATCCCTCTGATCTGAGTGGAGCTGACGACTTGTCGCAGGGCCCGATGGTCTCGTTGGGCCATTGATTCCCTGCAACGGGAAGCGGGATCCCAACCCCATGCCAAATAGGGAGAACCCATACAGGATCGCAATGTGAAGACTATCACTGTCAATAAGTGTTCGTAAAGACTCATAATTTTCGTATTTTACCACAGACCGATACACCAGTCAGTCCCAAATCTTGGTGCGCGTTAAGCCCCCTACTTAGTTCACCATTTTCTCACCGGTGATGTCGAACACACAAAGAACGGAAAGCAACACAGAGAGCCTCACCCGGAAGGTAAGGAAAAAGGAAAATACAAAGACCCTGACCAATCTGTACAAATTGTAAGTCTCCAAACCCTAAAATCAACTATAAATCATCCTAAAATCACCTCAAATCAGGTGAGTTGGGGATGATTCCCGAATTGAATCATCATTTCCAATGATTTTTGGGACCTTTGGGGGTGGCCTGCGAGGTGCCCGGTCGACTCGAATCCCTGGCGCTGTAGGGCTCCAGGCCTGGGGTCACGAACGATGATAAAAGACTTGCATTGCTGGTGCAGTTGATGTTTGATTCTGCTTCTGGATCTCCCAACTTCAACCACCCGCCACGACCCCATCTCCTTTTATGTCGCCGACCCGCACGCTACTGTGGCACAGAAACGGACTGCCGCAGCTTTCGGATGACATGTCCTGAAACGATCCTCGTCATCTTGCACATCTTGGCTCCAAGTTGTCAACGTCTCAAGGGTTCATGGCAGTTGCTGGTCACGTGGCTGGTCGGATGAACATGAAGTACGGCTTAAAATCTCCGTTCCGCGGAGTTTAAAGATCATTCGTTGCATTTCATAGAAAGGCAGCCTTGCCTGAGTGCCATGTCATGCTTGCGGAAGCATCAAGGCTGAAGAATTCATTCTCTGGAGTCTGGAGAAGAAGCAGGTCTGAATTTACCCCCCGTATGAAAAAGTTCAACCAGCCTTACTGTTCCCATTGGTGGCAATAAAATGCGTTGCAATGCCTGTTTAGTGCTGGTGAAACTGTCATGTTGATTGGAATCCGAATCTTTGGTCAACCCCTTTACCTTGGCTTATCATATTGGGGGGCTTACCCTATGTTCAGAGGCACCCCAAATATCATTCCCATCATATCCCATGAAATCCTATTCGCTGGTGAATCCCATATTAAACCATACAGTACGGCATATGTGTATGTATACATATATATATATAATCAATTAATTACATTTAACATATATATATATATATATACATATAAATGTATATTACGTATATACCCATATGATCATATATGCAAATATAAAATGTCACCAAGATGCCCATAATCTGATAGACCTGCGTGGATGACAAGAGCTCCACAAAGCGCTGATTCGTCTGCTGCAGCTTGCGGAGCTCTCCAGCTTCCTGGACGAGGGACTGGGGGACTGGGGGACTGGGGATGGGGGATGGGGGCATGCAGTTGAGGTTATAAGTATATAAGTAAAATGGATATAAGTACAATGGGTATAATTATAATGAAGTTATTATGATGGGTATAATGGGACTATGGTAATAACTTAACCCTCATAAGTTGGGATGTAACCCCCATTGTGTTTATATACCATGGGTAATATACTTGTGGTAATAAGCAGGAAATAATAACAAGAAGGCGAGAACTTGGAATGTAACCCTATGCCCATTGATAACCTGGGATTATCAAATGAGCTGAACATCCCTCATGAGCAGTTGAAGCCACACACATTCACCATCGACCCGCATCATTTTATATAGGTTGTGGTTGAAAATGGGGTATATAGCCTGGTTAACATGGAAAACGACGAACAACCACCAAAAACTACCGTGGGGATTTTGAGGTTTCTTATTGGGGTATCCTATGTTTTCCTTAAGAAAATCTTGTTTTTTAGGGTCCCCTATAAAAGTCTCCAGCAGGTCACCTTAATTAAGCCCCAAGACCTACCCTCTGGTAATTTAACATAGCTATAGAAAATCACCATTTGTAATGGGTAAACCAGGTAAACAGGGGTTGGTAACTGTCCCATTTTGGGTATATTGGACATCACCTTATAATAGCCATTATAGACCATATACCTAATGGTTGGGTGATGTTCAATGGGGACATTTAATGACCCATGGTAAACCATCTATAAATGGGCCATTTTCCATAGCAAACTGTTAGTTTACCAGAGGGTACCAAGTTGGCAACCAAGGCTCCATGTCATTGATCTTGATCAACTTCATGAGCACGGAATCCCCTCCATCGATGTTCTCCTTGCACCAGAGCGCCAGCACCTCCAAGGCATCCGAGACGCTCATCACCTCGTGCTCCCGCGCCATCAGGAGGAAACGCTCCAAGAAGTGTGCGGGAACACCTGGGAGAAACGTGGTGACTGCACTTTTTTTCGTACCCAGTTGTATCGAAAAACCTGGCATTTCTATGATTTTTAATTGGGATTTTATGGGACCAAAACAGGGGATGTGAATTTGTAGTGCTACCAGGTGCTGGTCTCTGTGCAGCAAAGCAAATCATCCCCAACTGCTACCCCCGAAAATCACCATCAGAAATGGTCCCAACAAAATCCATCAAAATCCCCATCCTCAAACCCTCACCGCGCCACAGGGATTTCGGAACTCCGGCAGCTTGGTCAGGGTCCTCCAGGATGACAAACCGGCCTCACAGAGGCGCTCGTCCAGCTCGTCACTCTGTAGGAACGCGGAGGTGCGCACGAAGCCAACGAATTCTGCCTCGATTTGCGGCTGAAATTTGATGAAATTTGGATGAAAAATGGTCGGAAAAGCTTAGGTTGCCAAGCAACCCACCAAAATTGGTTGGTCATTTTTGCAGGGTTATGGAGTATTCACTACAGCAACTGTAGACAGTAAATGCAGTTCAATTATTTTAAGCCATACGGCAAGGAATCGACGAAAATGTGGATAGAACAAAGGAAGATCAGAATGTAACCAAGCAAAATATGGCGATATGAAAGGGGGATATGGTTGTTAGAATCAAAGGTGGTCAAGCCATCCAATTAGGGAGACCATTTCAAGCTGTTCTTAATCATGGACTCTGAGCACCTGACCCGAATCGCCCAAATAATCGGGTCTTGCTCTAAAATCTGGACCTACTCAACTCCACAAACTTCAAGCTTCTTTTCATCCCATACTCATCCCAAATATATATATATATAATACATATATATATATATACATATACATATACATATATACATATAAATATATTTATAATATTACATATCCACAGTGATCGGAGAATCTGTCGTACGCGCCCGGAGGATCATCCTTAGTAACTGTTCGTATTTTTTCTAGTCACCGTTGTCTATGTTACATCCCAGTTGTATTCGAGATCATCCACCTATCCCAGATATCTAAGTTATATTCAAGATCATCCACCTATATATTATCTATTATAAATTATAATTATAGTTAATTATATATATATATTCACTGATCATCCACATCATCCACCCATCTCAGACCTCCGAAAGCTCGGGCCGTGCGCGCGTGGTGATGGCATGCAGCGCCCGCAGAAACAGCTCCGGATGCGGCGGCCTCACCGGCACCGCAGCGGCGCCACCTGCGCCCAGGTCGGGGCCGAAGAGGTCGGCCAGGAACCGCGAACGGTGCGCAATCAGCACGCTGGGATGCACAGGGATCACCTCTTCCTCCACCTGGATGGGGAGATTTCTTCAAAATGTGGAGAAATTTGCTGAGAAATATCAGAAAACTCATGAGAATTTTTTGGATACCTGTAAATTTGACCCCCAATCCATGGAAAAATTGGGGAGGTTCTGCGAAATTTGGGGATTTCATCGTAATGATTTAATGGTTTTAACCACCAAGCAATGGCCAGCTGCCAATATCTGCCAATTTTGCGCAAATGTCAATGGGGAAAATGAGATTCTAGACCCGCCTGTATTTTCAGGTCGCTGTCCCAACAGACCTCCAGCTCCAAGACTCCAAACATGGAGGAGGGGGGATGCAAAGTCATGGCGTCAGTGAGACTTTTCGGATGCGGGGATGTCAAACTCTGGAAGAACCCTTGGCGGGCATAGAAGACATCTTGGTTCGGAATTGGTTCGGATGTCTTTTCGATTCACCTTTTCGGGCTGTGAAATGCAATGGAGTTGATGGAGGAAACCTTGAGTGGCGAAATTGCGCTGCGGCACATGCATCATCTGATCTCTCACCGTTCGGATCAAAGTGCCGTTTGTGAATTTGGTGGTGATATGCAATCTACGAAAGCTCGAGCAAGTGGCAAAACATCGCTTGAATACTAACATATCCCAACTAATGTGGAAACAGTCTCGCAAGACCCCAAGCACATGCTGCCAACTTCAGCTACCATGCTGACCATGCTATGCCTCTTCAGATTGCCAAGATGAAATGGTTTAGCCCAGATTTGGGGACCCAAATGGCTATTTTCATGGCCTTTTCGTGATCTGGATCCATGGCACCTGCAAAGGGCCGCCGATTGGGCGTTCCACTGCGGTAGCTGCCTCCGCAGACAGCAACTCTCATCTTCGAAAGTCAGCAAGTTCCCTAAGTGGGTGATCCCATAAATCACTGGTCGTTTCAGGAACCTAAATTGGAGGTACCTACCATATCTAAGGCCTAAATTTCAGGGAATATCCCCACAAAATATAGCCTCCATTTTAGGATCCTGGAATTACCATTGAGTAAATGGAAATGGACTATCCCAGCTACCAGTTTCCCTTAAGGTGATCCCTTGGAGGAAGTGCGGTTAAAACCCTTCGACGCATCAGGCCATCAGGCCGGGCCCCCGGCCTGGCGTTGGGGTGCCTGGCACGATCAGCATCTCCAGTGAGTCATGTGGTAAACCCAACCAGAAACACCATCCCCAATTGGGATTTTTCGTGGCTTTACCCTCTGGTAAACAGCCACATAACTATTGAAAATAACCACTTCTAATAGGTAAATCAACTATAACTGGGTAAATTGGCTTCCATAGCTATGTGAAATTAGCAGAGGGTATCTTTGGCACCCCTATTTTGTGATGTAAAATGACCCCTAGATTAAGGACCTGTGGCTTCAATCTCCAACTGCGCCTGATGCTGGGGGAACACCTCTTGGCGTCTGAGCCTCGCAGTCCAAGGTGGAAATGGGGATGACAAAATAGGACACAAATGTTGATAAATTGAAAAAGTATCCAATTTTGGGGGGACCCCATTTTCAGACAAACCCATGTCCTTTGCCTTTGCAACTGCGCTCTTGCCCACAACCTATGCCCACCAGTTCCAGGGCAGGTCAAGAAATTGACAGCCAACAGAGGCCCACTGCTGATACATCCCACCCTGTGGAGCTTCACCAATGCTCAGGGCTCAAAGAGTTCATCCCTCCAATGGAAAAGCATACAGGATGGTGCCCCCCAGTTATAAGTTGGTTTATAAACCCCATTAACTAGTTCGTTATATCTGCCATAAACTATAGTTATGGGAGTTATGTTCACCAACTTAGCTATCGTTTGGGGGCACCACCTTGTAGGTGTTTTTAATGCTGGGCTTAGCCCCACTGATGGGTAGATCATGGTGAAATCCTCCAGTCCCCACAGGCCCCCAAAAAAGAGCCGAAGCCCGGCCTTTCGCCCTCGCTCCGTCTCGCTGCCCGGCGCGGCCCGAGACCTCGGCTGGGGATGGGTCAAAACCCTGGTACCCCTGGTGAACCCCAAGTCATAGCTGGGTTAAAATGGATGTGAATAACCCACTAAAAATGGTATTTTCATAGGTATTGACCCATCCCCAAATTGATAATCATAGCTACTATGATTTGATGGCATGAAATCATCTCAATTTGAGAACCGAGGCACCCGTTGTCGGGTCTTCGTTCGCTCCCGCGGCTTGGTTGCCCTGGCGCGCGCAATCTTTCGAGATAATATGATAATTTATGGGCCAATCCTATCATTTCTACTGTGGTTATACATGGTTATAGTATCTCTATACTTGCTGATTGTGATGATCCCCTATATGTATATAATTGGATAGTATAACACCCGGACTGATCATCAACCAACCAGAGCATTGCTCCACATGGGCGTTTCATGCTCTTTCTAAGATTTGGGTACTCCAACACCACCCATTAAAATGACAAATGGCTTGGATGATTGTTGGGTCCTCCATTTTGAGAAATCACCAAATGGTGAAGTTAAAGCATGAATTGATGGTCAATACTTAATCGAGAGAAAAGCAACTTCACCCTAGATGCACCACTGTTCCTGGTCTAGACCAGAATAGAAAGATAGTTCAATGATGTTAAGTGAGTCTGTGGGATCAAATGGAGAATTTGCAACTGTAGTCCCAGATTTGGATCCAAGTCCAAAAGAAAAGTTGGAAAACATGTCTCCACCCAAGCCAAGAGTTGTCGCAATGGTTGCCGGAGGTACGGGCTGTGGGAGCCCCTCTAGGCCTAGGTTACTCAGTGGTTTTGCACGGAAGATGGCCCAACTGTTTGAACCTTGCATTGATTTCCAAGCAAAAACCCAGGGAAATTCTAAGGTGTGCTTAGGGTACTCTCTTGTTAGGGGTCTTTTTGTCAAAAAAATCACATCACTACAATCCCACCAAAACACCATAAAACCATTTCAAAAACCCAAGAAACACCAAGTTTTGGTGGGATTTTGACGGGGTTTTGATGGGGTTGAATGGAAATCAATATTAGTTATTAGTTTACAGCCATGTTTGGTGGCACTGACCCATTTTTGGGATTTTGGTGGGATTTTGATGGGGTTTTGATGGGGGTGAATGGAAATCAATTATTAGTTTACAGCCATGTTTGGTGGCACTGACCCATTTTTGGGATTTTGGTGGGATTTTGATGGGGTTTTGATGGGTTGAATGGAAATCAATTGGTTTTAGTTACAGCCATGTTTGGTGGCACTGCCCCATTTTTGGGATCTTGGTGGTGTTTTGATGGGGTTATAGTTATGTTTTGATAATGTTTTATTGGCAGCCAAGTAGGAATGTTATGGGGTTCTTGTGGGAAATCATTAGGGAACCAAAAAAAAACATGCACACCACCATTGGAATCCCACAAGGTATGGCCAAAAACCCATTTGACACCCACATCAACACCACATAAACCCAAGGCAACATTTGGAGAGTTTTTAGCTGGATTGTCAGGGATTTGATTGGGATTTCCCATGATTTTATTTAGGGTTTCCTGGGGTGTTCCAGGGCTTGAGTGGGAACAAGCTGGGTTTCCACTGGGAAACATGTGGGCCTAGAAAAATCAAGAAATACCATAACAGATCGGTATGGCAAGCTCTCCTATGAGAAATGGATGTTAAATGCGAACAAACAAGGCAGTGGACTACTTGTTGAAGATACGAAGCCAGGAGATTTAAGTCACTTGATCTGCAAGACAGGAGAGCGCGGACCCCTTTAGTATCTGACGTCAGCTCGGACAAAGGCGCCACATGTCCAGATCCAGAATATGAATGCCTAGGCATCAGCAAATGGAGGGAACATTCTGTTGAACGAATTGTTTGCACCGATATTATGTGTGTACATACTTATTCATTTATTTTTATTTATCTATTTATTTATTTATTTACTGTATTTATTTATTTATTTAATTAAATTATTTATTTATTTATTTATGTGTTTATTCATTTGTTTATGTGTTTATTCATTTGTTTATGTGTTTATTCATTTATTTATGTATTTATTCATTTATTTATTTGTTTGTCTGTTTATGTGTTTATTTATATGTTTATTTGGTTATTTGTTTATTTGTTGATTTATTTGTTTATGTATTTATTTGTTTATTTATTTATGTATTTATTCTGTGCAGATATACATATATACATATATGCAGGACTATATATATATACATATATATATATGTATATGTATAGCATCTATAGCTATACACTAACATATAGATATAGGACTATACTATATAAATCTATATAGCATATACACCACTAATATACGTAGTGCTAACCCCTGCAATCCTTGGGATCCAGACTCAGCTCTGGTGGAGGCCTCACTTGCCTGGTTTTTTTCGTTGCAACGAGAAGCTTTCCACAGGCTCAGTTGAAACGGTGACATTGGATATACCAAAAAAAAAGGACATCATTGACATAATATACATGTGATATGAAACTGCATAGAATATCATAGAATGACATCTAGAATCTAGCCGACTTATTCCTACTTCAACTAACGATCAAATATGAAAAATCATGGAAAATCCATGAATTGGATGAGAATCGTGGGGAAACCAACAGGGTTTTCCATGTCGATCTTCGCCAACCGGCCTCCCTGGCCGTCGCGCGCTTGGTCTGTCCGGTCCGGAAGTTGCCCGGAAGCTGCCCGGGAAAGGCCTCGGTTTTTCGGAATCCCCTGGTTGTCACAAGATCCCTGGGATTTATGGATGATTTATGGATCTTCATCTGTTCATCACTCAAAATCCCATGAGATAAGTGATATCCAGCAAATTGATGTTCCTGTATGTTCCTGTGAATATGGGATTTATTGGTTTCGATTCTGAGACAAATGTCACAGTGTCACGCGTGCATTAAATCAACAAAGCACGAAAAGTTGTTATCGCAGAATACACTCCCCAAAACAATAGAAGCACCTGGATTTGTTTAAACATGTTTAAACCACCATTTTTCCCTGCAAATTCAAACGGGTTTCCTGGGAAATGTCCTACTAGGGGACATGAGGGATATGTCATCCAATGTTGGATGGAACGTCACAGGCTTCTCGCAACTTAAGGGAAAATGAAAAACGATAACCTCTATGAATGCGTTAAGTGCCCTTGATAAAACGTCAGTGTCTCGGAAGGTCTCAAGGTTGCATCCCGGGTTCGATATCGTTCGAGGATTATTTTTTCCCAGCCAAAGGTCTGCATACAATTTACAAGTGATCATTGAATTCGATGAATTGCAGACCGGCCATGACTGTGAGATTTCATTTGGCACCGGCAGGTCCTCTTTCCAATCGATGGGATATCCAAGGTTTGCCCTACAGTTCGGCTCCTTCTCCAAGGCATCCCAAGGCGCGCCAACGTCGCTGGGAAACCACACCCAGTTCCCGTAGTTCGGCACGCCCGGCTCTGGTGTGGCTGATGCCTTGCCATGCAAAGCTCCAGTGCCACCAGCAGCGCGGTCGGCATCCTGCATGGCAACCTCGAAGGCTCGTGCGTTTTGATC